AATAAAATTTAAAGGAATACTGATTAATGTTTCCATATTACCATAGTATTATTCATTTATGTATTATTTAGAGAGAGAGAGAGAGAGAGATTTCGTTTTTCAATTTTAATCTTTATAGGATCATCAATATATAATACTATGTCCGAATTTAATTTGATTTTGTCTATCTCAATGCTTTGTTTTATTTTAAATACGAACGTTCTTATCAGCGTTGCTAAAATAACCTTCATAGACATCATTCCGTATTTCAAACCTGTAAATTTGTCAATTATAAATATTTGTAAATTAATTTTATCACGATAATTTATAATATATTCATACTTACCTATGCAATTTCTTGGTCCATCACTAAAAGGTATGTAATATGGTATAGAATTTGTTTTTTCTTGAAGAAATCTATCCGGATTAAACATCAATGGATTCGGCCAATATTTTTCATTCCGGTGCATTCGTATAATTGATATAATAATATCCGCACCTTTTGGTAAAATAAATTCTCCTGAAATATATTTTTTTATATAATTTTTTGATATATTTAATCGTACATTTTTATGGTTCTTGTTCGCTCATCACTACTTTCAGATTGTGACGTCAGAAGTGAAAAAATATACAATGAAAATTTGTACAAATTATATTTGCATAAAAAACATTTTTCGATAAAGTAAAATTTGCAATCTATGAAATAGAAAAAAAACTAATAAAGGAAATAGGGCTAATAGGAATCGGCGCTGTAAATATTGCTCTTCTTAATTTTAACATATCTAAATATTTAATTTTAAGGCATATTTAACATTAATTTAAAGTAACTCGTATATTTCGGCTTTCTAGCCTACATCAACGCAAAACACGTCGTTGTAAATATGATATAAGACAGATATAACGGCCGTCGAATAATAAATCAGTCAATCAAATTCATGTCTAGTAGCAGAATTCTCTAACGTCTTATCGATGTCGCTTTAGTTAACAATAATAGAGACAATCGTTGATAAGATCATCCCACTACAGGATGTATTGATGTAGCGCAACTCGATGAATCGGTACAGTCCTTTGCGTGTTAATCGCTTGAGTTCGCAGAAAGATGCACATCAATTAATAATATTATTTTATCGGTGATAAGGTGTGTACGAAAATAATAAGTTTGATAAATTTCTATGAGATAGTCAATCCATTTGACATCACAATCCATTTAACGTGACGTCCGGAAAGTTCCACTCTTTAAATCCTAAATTTGGCCTTTTCAGATAAAATTTTAATCAGAAATGACGTGTTGTTTACGTTTGGTAGTAGTCACAGAAATGAAAAAAAAAAAATGAATTCCGTGCAGTGTTTACACGAATTAGGTTCAAATTTTGAAACAGGAAGAAATCGTACGGAAAGAAATCCAGAGAACAAGATAGATGAGCAATCAATTTGAAATTCAATTCGTGTAAATTGCACGGAATTCTTTCTTTTTTTTTCATTTTTGTAGCAACTGCTAAATCGTCCGCTTGAAACGACTGCGAACATGATACGTGTCATTTTTGGCTGAAATTTGGCCTGGAAAAGTTTGAAGAACTTCTTTAGCTTCACGTCACATGAATGAATTGTGATATCATTTCATAGAAATTTACTAAACTTTAATTAATCAAACAAACCTTGTAATATAAAAAATATACATTTTTTGTAATATGCAAATAAAATTTGTATATTTGGCAAATTTAAATTGTTTTACGGTTTTATATAATCAATAGATATTTTTCTTACTTATATACCTATGTAATATTCAACTAAATGTGTAAATTCAATAAATTTCTTCCTTTTTATTATCTATATTACATGATAGAGTATCAAGAAAAAACCTGTTGAAATAAGATTTGAAATGAGATTATTTAGTTTGTATAATTTTGATTAGCGCCATCATTTTGTGTTTTAAGAACAAACTCCACTAGTTAGCTAGGAATATTACTTATTATATCAACCATATACAGGTACTGTAACTTTCGTAACAACGCTCATATGCAGGTGGAACAGATTAAATTGAAAAATCTCAATTTGGGAGAGCAGTACACTGAAAAAAATTTGCTAAATCTGAGTAAATATTTCTTTTAATAGTTCCTATTAAACATTTATTTAGAACAAATAAAAATTTGCTCAATAAAATATAATGATACTTAAATCAAATTAATGGTTCTTGTATAAAAGAAATATATGTTTACATTTAGTAAATATTTACTTGGAACTATTCAAAGAAATATTTATTCAGATTTAGTAAATTTTTTTTCAGTGTAGTAAAGTTTCGCAGGTGCCTTAACAATGAAAATAAGTTCCATAAATTCCGAAACACAATATAGGTGTAGTAAACTCCGAAATGAAAATGGATTGAAATGAATTTAAAAATTGCAATTCATTTTAATTTCATTGATTCAATCTCATACTTTGGAGACCGGAGCTCTATGTGTATGTGGATTGAAAATAATTGAAATAAATTAATATCTAAAGACACACATAAATTTGTTTCTCTTTATAAAGTGGATAGAAAATAAAACAACGATTTAAAAATAAATTTTCTGTAAATATTCTTTTGACTTTACAATAACGTTTATAATCCCTTCTTTATAAATATAACAATGTTTTTATATTTATTTCGATCGAAACAGGAACATTCCTATTCAATACTGTACTCGGATATAAATTCAGAATTTACATATTTTCGTCATAACTTTTTAAATTTAAACAAAAATGTGTATTTTCATAAT